CGCCTTCAGTACAATTTGTAGCATAAAGTGAAACAATTTAAATTTTTTACCATGAGTGATAGAATTGCGTCTCCCAGTAACCATCTTTACATAGGCATTGATCATTTTCTATTGACTTGTGTTTTAAACTTTCTGGTCACCTGATTTACTTTTTATTACTTGGTATATTTCGTCTATACTAATGTGTTTGTTAATTGCACATTCATTTGAGTACCAGGCTTCTAGGAATTCCCTGGCACTTTTGGTGCTTCCTCAGTCTAAGATTTCGACATTATCCCAGTTATCAAACTGATGTCCATAATTATCTACATGCATTGATATGAAACAGGAATATATATCCTGTCTATTCACAGCCAATTTGTGTTTCTGGATTCTTATTCGAAGTCGACGACCACTTTGGCCGATGTAATGTCTGTCACAGTTCATACACGCAATTTATTTTGTAAATGGTATTAATTTTGTCTCCTTTTTCTGTTGGATTTCTCGGTTTGCACAAAATTCATGAATTAAGCGATTTAACTGTCTTTTGTGCTATATCTATTTCAAATGGTTTCAATTATCTAGCTGTTATTTCAGAGATGTTTTTCATGTATAATACAAAGTTATGTATACCAAAAACTGCTACTTGTCCTCCTGAAGCCAGTATCAGTATCTGTACAACTTGCGCTTCAATTTAGTTGGGACTTGTCAATTGGATGTACCAGTATCCTAGTTCTTAATTCCTTTCATTATCTTCAACCTTATACTAATTACTACTAGTAAGTAGTATGAGTTGATAATCCATAAGTATGACTTTGTTTCTTATTGAAGGTTAACTCACTAATCTATGTGATATATAGTAACTATTTTCTTATATTAAAGCATTGGTTTGTAAGTATTTGATTGATTGGTTACAGGATTTCATCAAGAGCTGACATCAGTTAGAGAACCACTGGAAAACAACCACGGAGTATTCCTTTTATTTTTGATTTACAGCTTGATTCCACACTGTATTTTTGGTACAAGTATGGAATTTTCAGCATATCATGATATCGGTAGCCCAAATTTTGCAGGCCGACCATAGATATCAGGTGTGCGCCGGCGTGGGCTCGAACCCCGGACCATGTGCATGATCGGCGAGAGTCCTAACCACTGTGCCACCGACGCACCGAGTACTGGACATCTGTTTCATCCTAGTGCTTGGGAATCTTTATCTGTAAGCACCCGCCACTACGGTTCGAACCTAGGACCTTCTGGTTACAAGGCTAACGGGCTCGTAGACCACTCAACCACTATTACCCGATCCAATGACTAAGCCATGAGTTCTAACTTCTGTCAATTTGCGACATAGCGTGACCACTAGCCAGAGTCTTCGGCGAGTATTTGTCCTCACACTTGACGTGCTGAACCCTACTGGTCACGACCTGTCACTAGGATCCCAGGTAAATACCTAATTGAATACAGCCAGTCGCCAGTGAGCATCTCATCGATATTCAAATAATGGTGTGTAGGGATATGATTGATTTTCTTATAGTTAAGCGTCATCTGCTGCATACGCTTTATTTATATACCCTTCACTACTGAACATTGTTTATTCGAGTCCCTTTATTGTTTATCTGGGCATTTGCGCCGTGTTTAGTATGCGCGTAGATAGCCCTGGATACAGCCTTATTGCTTTTTTCTTTCTGACGTATGGTGACTGTGTATTTGACGGCCAACATAGGTACCTCACAATTTGAGGTTTCTATACTAATGTTCATCAATAGATGGAGGAGATTAATAACTTGGTGGATTTGGACTTCGCCGATAATATATGCCTGATTTCCCACAAGCTGGAAGATACACAAGTGAAAGGCAACACGTTGGCAGAAGAAGCATCAAAGATGGGATTTCACTTCAGGTGAACATAGAGAAAACAGAGGTGATGAAGATTACTGGGCAACAGTAACAAAAAGAGACAACAATCAGCATAAATAAGAGGAATCTGAAAGAAACAACCTCGTTTACCTACCTACCTACCTGGGAAGCATCGTTTTAACTACAGGCATACAGAATTGATGAGGATGTCAAAGCTGCGAGGATCGAGAAAGCAAGACAAGCTTTCATTACTCTCGAGTCTGTGTGGAGATCAACAGCACTCAGCATGAAAAACAAGATCCAGATTTTCAACTCCAATGTGAAGTCAGTGCTGCCTACTTTACGCATCAGAGACCTGGCGCGTTACAAAGAGCACCTCAAAGAAACTACAGACCTTCATCAACAGATGTCTTCGCTCAATACTACTCAAGATCAGATGGCCGACCAGAAAAGATCAGCAATAGAGATCTTCGGCAATGAGCGAACCAACCAGGAACCGACTGTGCAACAAATGAGCAGGAAGAAACGGAGATGGATTGGCCACCCTCTGGAAAAATGAAACATCAAGTGACATCACTAGACAAGCCACCGCTCGAGTGGAACCCAAAAGAAAAGCGACGAGTCGGTCGTCAGTGAAAAAGTGAATTGGAGGAGGTGATGTGAAGAGGAGATGAAAACATGTGGGGAGACTTGGAGCCAGGTTAAAACTCTAGCAGAGAACCTAACGCGATGGAGACGTTTGGCTGAAGCCCTATATTCCTCTAGGAATTAAAGAAATAATAATATTATATTCATCATATATATACGTATATATATGATACGCGTCGGTGGTATAGCGGTTAGGACGCTTGCCGACCATGCATATGGTCCGGGGTTCGACCCCCGGCCGGCGCACTCCTTTACCTCACTGAGCCAGAAATAATGCTGGTAAAGAGGAAAGGTTGGGCATGAGGCTAGCAACCCCATCCTCTAAAAAAAAATTAAACACTGCTACAGAAACTTCAAGCCACTAGCTTGAAGCTCTATGTTCCACTGGGGAACGTGAAGGAAAAATTATTATTATATTATTTATTTATATATATGATACAGTACCGTACTTTAGACAAATCTTGTGTTTTGTATTTTGAGAGCAACTCAAACTTTTTGACTAAATAATTGATTGGAAATATTATTTATGCTCCTCGTTTTCCAATGGAATGCAGGGATTTCAATGAATTAAAATGACACTTGTTGACAATCCCCTTCTTTCATAAACGATACTTCCTGAATCGTAACGCGTATTTGGAAGTAAAGTTTCAGGTCGTATACGTAATTCCCATCATAACAATCCCATGGTTGGTTCACTGAATTAGCTTACTTAAAGCACTTTTTAACTTCCTTATTGTTTCTAAAACACTGTTTCGACGAAGCTGTCTCTTTTTTGTTTGGTTGAAGCCATTAGCAACATCTAAACTGTGCGTTGCAATCTATTTGGGAATTGTTAGCTGGAAATGCCAGCATTTCGACGTCCTTGTGTTCCTTCTCTCAGAAGCCAAATACTATATAATAAAAATATAATACCGATCTGTTTTATTAAGAAATATTACCGGAAGATTAAAACTGGTTGGAAGTAGTGATGAGTGGGGTCCAAATGGTCGAAAGTGGGGACAAATACTCGTCATTGGCTGGTGGTAGGTCGCGCTAAAATCATGAACTGGTTAGAAGTCATGGGCTGGCCGTTGAATCAGTTCCAGGGGTCTGAATGGTCTTCATTCTCGCCTCGTAACGGGTAGGTCCTGGGTTCGAACGCTGTTGGCTGTATAGTAATGAAGAGTCCCAAAGCAGGACAAGACAGCTGTCTTTTACTCCCTGGTGGCTTCCAATAATTCTCTAACTGATATCAATCCGTGATAAAACTTGAAACAAGTCCGATTCCTACAAACAAACTCTTGAAACAAACAATTGTAGGCCAAGTTAAACTTTAAACACCACTAACTACTAATCAGTGGACGACGTCGAATTATCCACTGACATTAATGAACGTGAACTCAACGTAGTATAGTGCGTGATTCGTTTCAAATGCGTTCCTTAACGAAGTTACGGTTGCAAATCGAGGAGGATAGTGTTTTCCAGTGTTGCCTGGATTAGGGGTTGCTTAGGAAGGACAGAATTTTTCGGGTGGTAGCGTGATCGTTTTAAAAAGATTTAGCAGGTCAACTGGTGTCTCTCATCATGTAATTTGTTTGAGGCGAGTAAGCATCAGCGAAGGTAAGCTGATAATTTTAATATTTCGTAGGAACTTTTTTTGCAAGGTCGCATATTTACAACTACTGGGTCTTAAAACAGCCGGTGAGAGACGCAGCTGCGGAAACCGAGAATAGCCTTGTCTCAACAGTTCAATGGTATCAGCATCGCAGAGACATTGCATCGTAGGAAATGGAGAAAATTACTTCTTTGTTGGGTTGAGAAGACATAGTTGTGAACGTCGACAAAACTGTGTTGGCGAGGAAAAGAAATACAACCGTGGTTGTCAGCATACCAACAATATTTGGGTAATTGGTTTGTACGATACCTCCCTCCGAAAAGAATTCGTGGAAAGAATAGCAGACAGAAAGGCAACATCTCTTATACCTATTATTACCAGACTTTTAAAACAGGGATCAATGATACATACGGATGAATGGATAGGTTACAACTCTCTGTCATCTCTTGGATGTATTCATCATGGAGTGTCCTCCCATTCAAGTGATTTTTTCAATCCCATCACGAGGACACATACAAATTCTATTGAAGGATTTGGGGAAGGTTGAAAAATAGGATTAGGGCTATAAATGGATCTCAAAAGGATCCCATTTATAGTGTGGTGTAACTTTTCTATTGACAGTCCTATGCATAATCGGGAGGTGTTTCTCTCACATGTTAGAGAAAGATACCCTCTGAAACAGTTTTATGCTTTCTGTTGTGCTTTTCCTTCAAAAAATATACGTTTCCATTTATCATAAATGCCTCTTTCATGTGATTGGTTCTTTCAAGGTCGTTTGCTGATTGGTTGTTAGTAGTACTGAAAGTCTAACTTTGCCGAACATTTTCTAAATTCATGCTTTTACTGATACCACCAAGGTTTATTGTGTTTTTTCCACTGAAACAATTGATAAAACATTTTAGAAATTAGTAAATTAACTTACGGCGGTAATAATACGTCATTCTTAGGAACTTTCTTTAACTCAAAAGACGCTGAACTGTCCTCTTTGAAATTAGTTATGAAAAGGTATTCATCCGGCTTTAAACTGAAAGACTTTTGTTGTTTCTTCTGTTCATTGGCTTCACATGTCTTATTCCTTATTGTCAGTCTAGCCAATACTTTCAGTGATTGAACTGTGAACACAGATCGCTGTTTAATCTCTTTTGGAAGTAAATACAACAGCGGATTATCATTGAGATTTAAGACTTCCAAGCCAATTTGACAAAGATGTAAAAGGCCAGGTTGAATACCGGTTAGATCATTACCGCACAGGTTAAGTACCTTTAATTGCCTGAAAAAGATTTATGAATAAACATGTGAGAAGTGATATTAATAATCCATCCATGAAAGACAGAATGACCAAAAAGAAGCAATTAACAACGACACAACAGTTGAAATTCTTTGAAGAAGAATATCGAAAGCATTTTGGAGAACATTCTTGGCTTAATTTTCCACGTCTCACCTTCTCTACACAAATACGGTGTTGTGTATGATGGAGAAGACTTGTAGCTCAGGTGGATGATTTTTATGTGGTTGTGTTGTCTGAGCTAGCTGGATAGTTAATTAGCGAAGCTTTCATCGCCCCCTACTAGGTGACATCTTCAGTGCATACGTCAATTTGAATTGAAGTGAGATTTTAGATTTCTCCACTAGTTTAATAATCATCTCTCCTGGTGGGTGACTTTCAACGTCGTGATTGGTTGTTATTGTGTGTTTTCACACCGTCTAGGCTACTCTATTGATTGACTAATCAATAGACACATTGAGATAGATAAAATTTATCAACCGATAAGTAAGAAACCTCATACACAACGAGTCAAAGTCCAAGTCAAAGAAACAATTAATTCCAATACAAGTAGCAGCCTAGAAGGTGTGAAAACACACAAAAATAACCAATCACATCCAAGGTCACTAACTAAGAGCGATGACTGATAAACTCGTGGAGAAATCTAAAAGCTCACTTTAGTGAATTGAAGTATGCACTGAAGATGTTGCCTAGTAGAGCCACGAAAGCTGCGCAAATTGACTATCCATCAAAATCGGCGTTGTGTTACTGTCGAGATCTATGTGTCATACACCAAAAACCGTTTCCCCATGTGGATCCAGTTACGTAGACCTTATGAGTAGGTCATCCCCTGGACATTCACATGAACATCTCCCAATGTGGCAGTCAAAACAAGAAGTTAGGCTATCGACTGGCTTTGTTTTTCCAGAGCCTACTTCCCAACACATCGTTCTGTGTCAACAGAGAAATCTCTCAAAGTGATTTATAAGGCTTGGGCAAGACATTCGATGGCCTTTGGGCTACATCTTCTGTTCATGGCGGAAACTTGAAATGCATAAGAGAAATCCTAAGTTGTGTATGCAAAAGTGATTTATCTTGAACAATTTTTGGTCCATACATTAATCCAGTATGCAATGGGTCTTCATGCGTTCTTTTCTTTCGAAATGATAAATTTAAAATATGCCACATGTATATTTTGAATCTCTTACTCTTGTGAATATCATTTCTTTTTCCAAGAGCTTAAAATTCTAATGAAAATCATTTGTGAATGTCATTCATCATTTTAGTGTTTTTTGTGTATTAGTGTATTTGTGTGCGTCGGTGGCACAGTGGTTAGGACTCTCTCCGACCATGCACATGGTCCGAGGTTCGATCCCCTGCCACTGACGCACACCTGATATCTATGGTCAGTCTGCAAAATTTGGGCTACCGATGTCACATGCTGAAAATTCCATACTTGTACCAAAAATACAGTGTGGAATCAAGCTGTAATCAAAAATAAGGAAAAAAAATTGAAAAAATTAGCTTGTATGTCATTTTACACATGTTTGTTTAAGCAAATATATTAGGCGTGTTGAAGGATGTGTATCGGCTTGCATTGCTGAACACTGTCGTAAATAACTTTCTAGTGTTGATGATGGCATCCCAACGAATGCAGTCACACAACGGTCATGATATAGTGAAGTTGAGTAAAAGTCTTTACAGTTCTTAGTAAGCAAGGTAATAAAAAAGCTCTACGACTTACTGAAGTCTGTTGAATCAGAGTGAAGAAGCCAGATCTATGTATACAAGAGGTTACAGTGATCACCTCAAATCTACCTTAATAGCATACTTTTATTTTATCCTTATAAGTTTCCTATCCTTCCCTCTTCTCTTTACAATGTGTTTTTACGTTTTTATAATTTCTATTTTTATATTATATACTCTTAGCTTTCACAGGATATAGGCATTTCGAAAATAATTGTAGATGTTTACAAATGCATAAATTCTACCACAGATACTCCAGTTTATATGGTAACATCTGCTTCGGTGAATATTTTTCACTTAATAATGACGTTAACAGATTACCACCCAGAAGATGTTTAGATTGAAAAACCATCCAGGGAGTATTGGACAACTGTTTCGTCACACTAGTTTGGGACTCTTCTGCAGAACGCATCCACCCCACTGGATTCGAAAGCAGGACCTTCTGGTTGCAAGGTGAGCTCGTAGACCATTCAGCCACTGGGACCCAATCCAATGGCCAGGCCATGAATCCTAAAGTTTTCCAATTCATGACATAGCTTGACCACTGCGCAACTTCTTCTTCTTCTTCTTGAACCCTTGCTGTACGCTACTGGTCACGACGTCCCACTGGAACCTCAAGTAACTACCTACCTGAATGGGGCCAGTAGCTAGTGTGAATAAGATTAATTTGCAAGTATTGATATTGTAGGAATTTTGTTTGATTGTTTGAAGGATTTCATCATGACCTGATATCGGCTAGAGAAGTTCCCGGGTTCGAACCCCAGTGGGTGCATACTCACAAAGAGTCCCAGACTAGTCTGATGAAACGCTTGTCCAGTACTTCCAGTTGGTTTTCCAGTGGTTCTTTAACCAACGACAGCTCATGATAAAATCCTTCATACAATCAGACAAAATCCCCAAATATCAATACTTTAAGATTGTATAATTGTTCAAATTGATACTTATCTGTTATCACACCATGTTTGAATGTATTAAATTTTATAATATAGTTGTATAAATAAGAATGTTTGTAGGGAAGTATTCAGCTTGTGAGTCTTTCCACTGAAATTTACTAATTCAATAAATACTGTTTCTGTTTTCATATACGCTGTTGTTTGTTTGGAAAAAAGAACGCTTAACCTACATAGTGCCTTAAATAGCTATCTGTTTTCTTCTGACATACTGCTTATATCAACCTCATAAATAAATGCTGCTGTACAAAAGGATGATTCTGATTTAAATTTTATCTTACAGGAGTTTATTAATTGCTATCCTTCAATTAAACTCACAGTGGATGGTAAAAACGAATCAAACATTCCATCCCTGGACATCGAATTGACAAAAAAGAGATGACGCAGCTCTGAAAAGATCTATCCACAGAAAACCAACATGGAATGGCCAACTGAGAAACTTCTACAGTTGGATACCTATAAGTCGTAAGAGAGCTCTCATAATCTCGTTGACCAACCGTAGCAGGAGAATTTTTAGCGATGACTGGTCAGAAGAAGAGCTTCTGTTCCTCGAAATGAATACTCATTGCGTTTCATGCAGAATCTTATGAAATCAAATTCAAAAAAGGAGAGAATTCACTCCAGCGCCAATAAAAAAACACTTTATTTGAATCTGCGATTCAGGAGAGACCTAACAGGAGATATCCTTAAAAGGAGAATCTCCAGTTCCCTGGAATAACTCTAAGAGTGATGTCCTCTAGCCACCCACTGATCCCGAGCAGTGTGAAGGACAGACTTCCGCTTAATACCATTTCGATTTCTATACATCAGTACACATGCTCGTGCAGAGCTAGGGACATATGTAGTTCTATGTAAGTACTATCAAAACTTGTTACAGAACATTACGCAGCATGACTGTAAAGAGGACGGAGTGGCACTGATTCAGTCATGAGTGTCATAATTAAACATGTCGTCAACACACCTGATCACAGCATCTCAACTAACTCCCTCATTATTCACAGTCATTTACAAAGTAAACAAATGCCTACCACAGGCAGTGTGTTTCTGAATTCTTTGTACGACTGCTGAAGCCCTCGTCATATGCCTGGGAAAACCGGAGCTGGGTTTTCAAAAGAAACTGATTCAACCCCTACATTTACTCTGGATCTAGTTCGGTTTGTCTCCTTTGATCCTGTTTTTTCATCACCATCATTCTTTCAACTTGTTCCCATTCGGATCCCATTCACACCTTCAGTCGTTAAAAAAACTATTTTCTAATCTTATGTAATCTTTGAATTGAATATTTTGATTTTCCCGTCGATTGATTGGACCGAAGTGCTTGATCTCAGGTTGACATGTCGTGGCCCAAGTGGTCTAGTGGATAACGCTTTGGCGTTTGAAACTATGGGCAATGGGTTCGAGCCTCAGTGGGAACATCATCACTCACTGAGAAATGCAGGTACATCCAGCTGACGAGTCCCAAATAGGACGAAATGCACATCCTGGATTCCACTGCTAGTCACCATCCACCAATTGTAACTTTATGTAATCTTGTCTTAAAGCACTTTTTAATCTATATTCACACCTTCAAAACTTTTATATCAAATTGAAGATTACTATGACCCGTATTATTCTTCGTTACTATGTGGAATTAAATAAATAATAGCTGTATCCATGTAAACTAATATGTATAAATGTGATTGTAAAGCCTTTGAGAATAAAATCACCGAAAAGATATCTTTACTGAACTTCTTGTTCTTTTCCCTCTAGTGCCCCGATGGGTATCTTCCACGATTCATAAATAAGTGTTCAGCTTCGCAGGGAAAACCCTCAATCGGATCTCTTTCTTGACTTATGTTTTCTCACTTCTGATGTCAGTGTCACCTCTTATTATCTTTCAAAGTTTAACCATAAGTTCAGTTAACTATAAAAAAATCACAATAACTTACTCAAATATTTTTATCCGACTATCAAAATGCTCCAGACGATTGTAGGATAAGTCTAATACTTCAAGAGACTTTAAATTATAAAAACTAAAATAAACAATAAAACAATGTGTGATAAAGTTATTTGGAAAATAATCAAAAAAATATGTGAAGCTAAAGTCTAGTCGAGCATCCTCCTACAGTCAAAGTAGCGATTCAAATAGCAGGTAGAAGTCAATGGTTTTATACTATATGGGCCAGGTTAAACTTCAAGAACCGCTAACTACCAATGGAGTGAGAACGCACCAATGACCTTGAAACACTCACTCAGCGAGTCAATGAAATCCGTCAAATAATGTGTTGTCATCATCAATAGAATATGCTCATCGAAGTGTTATGCTACTAGATGGGATATCTGGCAAGTTTCAGCTTAGGTTTGGGAAAATTTAAGTTACGCTTTAAGCCAAGGACAAGTTAGGGTTAGGTTAACCTAATAAACAGAAGACAAGTAGTTCAGCGAAGAGTCTCTTTTCGGCGAATTCATTTTCATAGCTGTACAATCGCAAATATATATGGTTATTTTGTGTGTGTGTGTGTGTGTGTGTATACATTAAATTTGTCAAACGAAAATACAATTAGTAAGTTCAGATGAATTGGATGTTGATAAGAGGATAGCAACAAAAGTGATGAGTTGTCAAAAACCTGTGGAGCCAGGTACATCGGTCGTTCAACGCGCATCCTGTCTAAAAGGGTCAAAGAACACTATCAAGCGTGGCTACAGAAAAGAAATAATGGCCATATAAGGAGTGCAATAATCGAACATTTCGTCAATACTGGTCATTTCATCTCAACGAATGCCTCCTTCAAAGTAATCTACAAAGTGAAGAACAACCTTCCAAAGACAGTACGATTCCGTCTTCTTTGCATCGCAGAAGCCCTAGCCATCCAGTCGGAGGAACCAGAACTATGCATACAAAAGAAAATTATCCAACCACTTCCACTCGCATGGTAACTACTCCTTTGATTTGACCTAACTTTTCTTTGTTTGTTTGATTTGACCTTACTTCTGTTTTTATGCTTATTTTTCTAACTTAAAACCCTTGTGTAATTCTGTATATTATTTTGTTTCCATGTACACCCTTTGAGCACAACTCATTCATCAAACTATTTGTGCCATTACGTAACTCTTATTTAACAATCATTTATGACAACTCATCACTTTTGTTGCTATCCTCTTATCAACATCCAATTCATCTGAACTTACTAATTGTATTTTCGTTTGACAAATTTAATGTATACACACACACACACAAAATAACCATATATATTTGCGATTGTACAGCTATGAAAATGAATTCGCCGAAAAGAGACTCTTCGCTGAACTACTTGTCTTCTGTCTACTAATGTTCGAATGGGAATTATTCATGAATAACCTAATAAAGGCAATATTAGGGTTGGTTCGAGTTAGATTACAGTTAGTTAGTTTAGGGATATTTTCACGTGTGTGTTCAGAAAAACTTTGTTCAATCCCTCTTCCTCTCTTTGCCATCGCCCCCCAACCTAAAATAGTTATCTCTTCCGGTAACACGGGATAATTGTAAATATTATCTTAGTATACTTTTATTTTATTTCATTTGTAATGATAACTGTACTATATCAACATCACGCTGCTACTAAGGATTTACATTTTAATCCTGGTTTTACAATTTATTATTATATTATCTAATCCCAGTGTGAATCGGCATCACCGGGAGAGATTTAACAGAGGTTGCCTCCTTCACTTACCTGGGAAGCATCGTTTCAACTACAGGTCAACGGAACGGCTGAAGATGTCAACACCAGCTAGAATTGAAAAGGCAAGATACGCCTACATCAACCTTAAACTGGTTCAGAAATCTTCAGTGAATCAGCATAAAGAACAGGATTCGCATTTTCAACACCTATGTGAAGTCGGTCCTTCCATACGGGTCAGAAACTTGTTCAGGGTGTCACGAAAAGGTTTTCCAACAGCCCGTTGCAGACTTTCACCAACAGCTGCCCAATTCGCTGGCTCCATACTGAATATCAGATGCCCAGAATGAATTGGTAACAAGAGACTTAAGAACAAACCAAACGAGAGACGATCACTCAACAAATGTGTACGAGAAAGTGGAGATGGATTGCGCATACACTGAGGAGACCGTCGAATGACATCGCGCCCAATGCAGGCCACTGCCCAAGTGGAATCTCTATTTGAAAGCGACGAATGGGTCGTCATTGCGAGGGTGAAATGGAGGAAGAGATGAGAAAGTCTGGGCAAACGTGGAGCGCTAGTCAACTGAAGTGGATGTGTTGTTGAAGCCCTATGCTCCACTAGGAATCCAAGAGAACAATAATAATAGTAATCGCTGGGTGACAATTTATTTTCCCCTCTATCTCTAGTAGTATGTACATCCCACCTTTACACTCACCGTTGCCTAGATTATATAAACACTTGAATGAATTTATGCTTGTCATTATTATGATGATCACCTCGATTGTTATCCACAGTTAATTGACATCCGTGAACTCTGATACCATATTCTGTTAACCACATTAATCCATATGCTTATGACTAATATTTTCATCATTATATAAATGTAAAGCCTGATGAAAATCTACCGAAAATATATATATTTCATACATTTATTCCCCTTAATGAATTTGAACAATGCAAGAACCACAGTTTTAGCAGAATAAAATGGTACCATTTTTTATTTCGTTGCCTTCTCGTCAGCTGCTTACCTGGCAAAGACATTATTAAATATATCTACAACAACAATTTTAACATACTTGCACAGAGTTAAGTTTAAACAAAAATCAATCGATCAATATACTCATACACTAAAAGTATATACATATATAAATATGCAATATTAACCACTATTCCGAACAATAATAATCAAACACAATGGAAACTTTTAGCATTATATATATAGCATTATTATTTTATATATGTATATATTTTTAATGTATGCGTATACTGATCGATTTATTTTTGTTTAAAATGAACTCTGTGTATGTAAGTATGTTAAAATAGTTTTTGTAGATATATTTAATAATGTCTTTGCCATGTAAGCAGCTGACGAGAAGGCAACGAAATAAAAGATGGTACCATTTTATTCTGCTAAAACTGTGGTTCTTGCATTGTTCAAATATATATATATATATATGTATATTTGGGATTATAACCATGTTACTAACTTGGAATTCAAAGGTGATCAAGCTTCATTTATGGTCAAAAACCGTCTATCTAAAGCGGCCAGTAAGACGTTCTTTGCGGCAAAATTACAAATGATGTTCACCAGCCGCATGTTGTTCTTCTTCTGGCAGCCTTCATGTGCATCTATCAGTTCACCTGCTCCTCTTGTGGAGTAAGCTACATTCACCGTAGCTAGAGAACTCAGTTTTCCACACGGATACGAGAACATATTCCAGCAGCATGATTTTATAAGGGAGAAAGGAAGTGTGTGTGTGAAGCTCTACTCTACAACATCTGACCCACTCCTGTCACTCTACCAACCGTGATCGTGATTTTGAAATCATCTACCGAATCCATGCTAACTTGCTGGCCGCGTTTTCTTTCTTACAGACTTCTAAAGACAGCGGAGCCCTTGACAATTCATGACTTTGAGCCAAAGCTGTGTCTACAAAAGAAATATGGACAATCTCTGTTTCTGCCTCTACCGATAAGGGATAGACATTTATTTATTTTTCGTAGGGATTTAGTTTGACTGGTTGAAGGATTTCATTATGAGCTGAAATCAGTTAGAGAACCACTGGAAATTCTGGGAGCACTGGATAGCCGTTTCATCCTAGTTTGGGAGTCATCAGTAGTATGCACCCACTTGGGTTCGAACCCAGAACCTTTTGGTTACAAGACGAGCTAGCTCGTAGACCAATAAGCCACTGGGACTCGATCCAATGGCCAGACCATGAACCCAAACTTCTGCCAATTCATGACATAGCTCGACCACTTCTCAATGTCTTCTTCTTAGACGAGTTACTGTCTTACCTTCAACATGTTGCACCCAGTCCAGCAAGTTCCAGTTATAGAACTCATGAATGATCTAGTTTGACCCTACAGAGTGAATGGTAAGTCCTGGATTTGATCTCCGGTGGGGTCAAGAGTACGTACTGCTGAAGGGTACCGAACTAGGACAGAACGGTTACCTATCGGCTCCTGATTTCTGCTGTTTCTCTAATTTTAAATCAGCCAAATCCCTATAGATCAACACTTGGGAGTTTTATGACTTATTCAAATAATTATAAAATTAAATCATAAAAATTAGAGATTTCTTACTTATAGGTCAACTGTTCAATTAGACAATAAGATAAATCGAGTGATTTTAACTTTTTCAGCTTGGAAATTGATTCAGGCACAGTACGCAGGGGATTTGAACGCAGTGATAAAGACTCCAGATTCTTCAGTAAGCTGAATTCTTCTGGAAGATCCTTTTATAAAATAGAATTTTAGAAATTTTATACAATTTACACCAATGCATAACAAGCACCAACCTCGCCAGATACTAGCTTGCTAGGCTACTAGCTTACTAGTTTTCTCGCCGGTCCCAAGCCCGGGTAAAGAGGGAGGGTTGGGGCGTGGTGCTAGCAACTCCACCCCCGTAAAACAACAAAATCGCTACAGAAACTTCAACGAATAAATATATTAAAAATTCTAAAAACATAAGCAATAGCCTTACTTTTCGCTGGAATCGGGGAAGTGAAATGACGCAGGCTGGTGAAAGCCTTCGGGAAGCCAGTCAGCCGATGTGCCTTTTTTCGATGAAAGCAAAAGTAAGGATGGGTACCTGGAATGTTCGCACAATGTACGAAACTGGAAAGGCTGCCCAGATAGCCGCTGAAATGAGAAGGTACAGAATAGAAGTGTTGGGAATCTGCGAGAGCAGATGGAACGGAACTGGAAGGTGCCAACCACCTACTAGAGAGACAGTAATATTTTCCGGCCACCCAGAGTACGACCACGAGCACACCGAGGGAGTGGCCATCATGATGTCACCAACAGCAACCAAAGCTCTCATGCAGTGGGAACCAATCTCCTCCAGGATAATGACAGCCAGGTTCAACTCAAAAGGAAGGAAAGTTACAGTCATTCAATGTTATGCGCCTACAAACGTCTCAGAACAAGAGAAGAAGGAGGCTTTCTACAGACAACTACAAGCAATATTGGACAACGTCCCGAATGGCGATATCAAAATCCTGATGGGCGACATGAATACGAAGCTGGGAGGAGACAATACAGGAAGAGAACTCACCATGGGTCGTGAGGCCCTCGGTGAAATGAACGACAATGGTGAACTATTCTCAGACTTCTGCGCCTTCAATGATTTGGTGATTGGTGGTAGTGCGTTCAAACGCTGGGTGACATCGCGCGCCAAGCCCTCGAGTGGAACCCGAAAGGGAAGCGGCGTGTGGGACGTCCAAGGGTGACATGGAGGAGATCGTGTGAAGAGGAGTTGAAAGAATATGGATTAACATGGATGCAGGCGAAAAGTATAGCAGAAGACAGAAGAAAATGGAGAAGTGCAGTTGAAGCCCTATGTTCCACCAGGAACCCAAGGGAGCAATAATAATAATAAAAAATAACAAGCACCAAACATATATGGAGAATATTTATTGATAACTGATGAATACAGCATTAGAAGGCGATGGTCAAGCGAGGCGCTCTCATGATATCTTTATTGTTTGTGAATACCATTATAATAAAACAGATTTTGCGACAAAACAACTGTTAACAGCCTGTATGATGTGTAGATGCGATTTATTTCTCCTTTCAGTGCTGCTAATCTACCCTCCTAAAGTCTACTAAGTTACATGTAGCTGATAAATCTACCACAAGTGTAATCAATCGCCTTGGAATTCTTGACGTTGTCAAGTTTCCTCTTCCTCCCTCTGTCTTTTTCAGTCTCTTTCTGATAATTAATTGTTTACTACAGTGAGTTAACTGTTGTTATTATGATTATTTCTTTTAATTCCTAGAGGAAAATGGGGCTTCAGCCAAACGTCGCCATTGCTTTCGGTTCTCTGCCAACCTTTTCACATGGCTCCAAGTCTGTCCACATGCTTTTATCTCCTCTTCACATGACCTCATCTATATCATCCCACCTTCACAACGACGACCAACTCACCGCTTCTCGTTTGAGTTCCACTCGACGGCCTATCTCGTGATGTCACTTGATTGTTTGTTTCCTCAGAGTATGGCCAGCAAAATCCACCTCCATTTCTTTCTGCTTATTTGTTGTACAATCGTTCCCGGTTGGTTGGTTGGTTCGCTCAATTGATCTTGAGTATTGAGCGAAGACAGTTGTTGATGAAGGTCTGTAGTTTGCTCGAGGTGCTCTTCATGAGGCGCCAAGTCTTTGTTCCGTACGGTAGCGCTGACTTCACATTGGAGTTGAAAATCAGGATCTTATTTTTCATGACTTGATCGTAAATCATTAAAATCTAAATCGTCAAAGTCTCTTATCCCTTTCAATCTTCAACTATCTAAACTTGATCTGTTTGGAGTTCTCAATTTTTACTTTATTATATTCGATTCATTGTGGTTTACATATTAGCCGTATATCTCCCTATTATCTTCCTGTGTAGCGCCAAATTACTATTATTGTTGTTCCCTTGGGCTCCAAGTCGAACGTAGGACTTCAACTGAACATCTTCACTTCATCCTATTCTTTACGGTGCTCTTCATCTGACCCCACAACTGCCCATAGTCCCTTATCTCCTACTCTTACGATCTCCTCTATGTCTCCCTCAGCTAAGGACAGACTCGTCATTTCCCATTAGAGTCCCACTCGAGCGATTGCCTGTAGGGCAGTGTCATTCTACTCTCTCATCAGAGTGTGCCCGACCTAACTCCATTCCCTTCTGAATATCTGTTGAGTAACAGGCTCTTGTTTGGTTCTTTTCCAGAGTTCCTTGTCAATTATCCTTTCTCAGTGGCCATTTGATCTTCACTATGCGGCCAACGAAGGTAGCTCCTGATAAAAAGGCTTTAGGAGTCGTTTGGAAATGCTTTCCGTTGCACACGCGCCAATTTTCTGACCCATATAGAAGAACTAACTGAATTGACATTGGTGTAGAAAGTCCGAAATCTGTTCTTTGTGTTCAGCCCAACTAATTTCAAATTAATAGGGGGTTTCTGCTGCTTTTCTGATCCTACTCGGTTTCGACATCTTCAATCGTACCATATGTGGTCGAAATGATGCTTTCCAGAACAGGTAAATTGAACAGATGACTTTGATTAGATTTCTCCATTGATGGTGGTTTGTGCTTGTTTTGGTTGTTGATGGTTACGTATAATTGTGGTGAGAGCAGGACGTGAGAAAATATGTACAAGGCTGATTTAACAACCAATCACAGCAAAGTTAACGTGGCAAAATATGATTCGCAGATAGAGAACTCTATTTGTCGAGGAATCCCTAAACAACCAATCCGAAGCCTGCGTTTGTCTGCCTAACTTCTGATAAACAACCAATCAGATGACTGCGCTTGTCTACTTGCATAAGCTATAATAATGTATGTGAAATATATATAAATACGTGTTGATTTTCATAATGAAACGATCTGTTGCCTGGCCCTTGTCTTCTGTTGTTACATAATTATTCCCTTCACCTTTCTATGTTTACTTGAAGTCCTATCTTTTTAGCTTCATCTGAAAAGCTGTTGTTCTTCGACTTTAGATCCCTGAGCTTGTATGAAATTAAACGTAAATCATCCGCGACGTCCAGATCTCCCTCCTAGAGTCTTTTTGTCAATCCAACACATTCTTGTCTTCCTGCTCTTCACGACCTATTAAATGAGCCAGTTGACCACAATGAAAAATACCACCAGTGATAGTTGTCAGCTTTGCCCTGCTCCTATCTTCACCTCATAGGTTACCCTGAGCACTCTGTTGCGAATAAGATCACTGTTGAATGAGGTTCATTATGCAATTCCATATTAGTTTGTTTATTAGATATATCACACACAGTCACTGAAACAGTATTGCTGTTTACTGGACGACACAGTTTCGAACAAAATTCATCACTGCTCATAATTATTCCATCAATTATAATCACACGACTTTGAAACTTGAGTTTTATAGTTTTCCCTGTCTTCTCCTATTTGTCGTCGTAGGGGTAGTGGAATTTTCCAGATGTCGATGTGGACAGATGTTGAATCATTCCTATTACATGTATTTGCAGTTGATTCGATAAATAAAGCTTCCGTTATCAATCTCTCCCTCCAACCTGTGACATTAGATTTTAAAACTGTCATCTAATCCCATCCATCCTGAGGTATGGTTGTGTGTAATTGCATGTGGTTGATGCTACAACTGAATTATTCTCTAGATTTCTTATTTTATTTAGGTTAGCCAGTCCACACTTTACTAGCTTTTTATAATCGGCTAGTCTGACAACCCCTGTTCTACTACTTTGACCTATACATTTCACGTGACAATCATTGCAGTCAGGGTATTAGATAAACTAAATTGTTTTGTTTTAAAGGCTCTACAGGATTGATCCTTTAACCGACGAAGCATGTTTGTAATTGAGTCTGTGGGTGACTGAATGTCAGCCACTTTTATTCCTACCAGCATTGTTAAGAATTCTGCGTAAGGTTTCCGAAGTTCCTTCCTTTTATGGAATTACTACTGATGATTTAGATTCCTAATTGTTGGTGTTGTCATTAATATTATTATTACAATTATCACTGCTATTATTATCATTATTATTGGTATCACTATTATTATTATTATCACTATCGTTACTATCAATTTTTATTGTAGTTTTACATTTCATTATGGATTTGGGTACTCCGTAGTGTTTAGGCAGTTTCCAAGCAGCCCCCCATATACTAACAGAGGAATAATCAATTCGCTATTCACTAATACATCTATTGCAGTCACCTAATTTAGAAGTGATCAACATAAGCTCTCCATCACAAAAGTTTGTGTGACGTATCTTCTCTCCGCTGTTATTCGTACAGACAGTCATTAGTCTAAGTTATACTTTACAATACCTTCACTCTGCTATCACTTATAGGGTCCTGATGACAGAAGTTATGAAAAAATAGGTTACATCAATGTTTAATAATTCCTAGTAGTTACTTTTGACGACTAAATGCACGTGTCTTTCGCTTTACTTTTTACTTTGCTTAGAATCCAGAACGTCTCTCTGGCCCTAGTTTGAACTCTTCAGCTGGGTGCTCTCGTTGGTGGTATTTATATTGAAACTAGAACTCATTACCCATCCTTTGAAATGCCAAAGTGAATTCTTAATCCTAGTTATATATATAGGACATCCAATCAAGGATACCTATTTACCGAAACGAAACTCATTGGTGTAGTCAAACATATGTCAACAGAAAATCATAAAAATGAATAAATTATTATGTTATTATTGTTCCCTTGGGTTCCTAGTAGAACATAGGACTTCAACTGCACGTATCCACTTGCCACTTCTGTCTTCTGCTGTACTTTTCACCTGAATCCATCTTAGTCCCTTCATACTGTTTCAACTCCTCTTCACACCATCTCCTCCATGTCACCCTTGCACTGACGTTCCACTCGCCGCTTCCCTTTCGGCCTTGTTCCACTCGAGCAATGGCCTGATGCGCGCGCGATGTCACCCAGCGGCCTCCTCAGCCACGAGTGTCCAATCCATCTCAATCCACTTTCTACTGCATATTTGTTGGGCGATTGCTTCTTGTTATGTTTGTTTGTGCCCATAGTTTCTTGTTGGTGATTTTTTCCGGCCCGGCCATCTCATCTTCAGTATAGAGCCAACGAAGACAGTTGTTGTCGATATAGGTCTGCAATAGCCTGTTAGAAATATTCTTTGTGACTCGCCCACCCGCCAAGTTTCTGATCCTTATAGAAGAACTGACTGACTTGACGTTGTTTGTATTGAAAATCCGACTGAATTTTGTTGTTGATGCTGGCTGGCTGAGTGACGAAGATTGGTATCCAGATTGGTTTCAGGTTGATCAATGTGTGTGTTTCTCGCCTTCCTGATTCTCCCCCGATTTGACATCCTCATCCGTTCCCACTGCCTGTAGTTGAGACAATGCTCCCTAGATAGCGTTGATGGTGATTGGTGCTGGATGTTCCTGCTGTTGTTGTTTGGTTATTTTCATAACCTCCGTGTTGTCTATGTTCACCTGGAGTCCTGTCTTCGCCGGCCAGTTTGTCAGTCGATTTTCGCTTGTAAGTCTTCGATTTTGTGTGACATCAAACATAAATCATCCACGCGCGAAATCCAGGTCTTCCAGGTTCTTC